AGACTGAACCTAGGGTCTTGAACATGCTAGACAAGTGTTTGACAAGTGAGTCACTCCCCAGCCTTCATATTTCCTTTTTGTGACAGCTCAGTAATTTACAAAGTTTTATTTTATATTTTATTCATTCCCCTTTTTACATTAAAATATTTTGAAAATGAACATTTTTTCAGAATACAACTTTTGTCATAAATTAAATGTTGTAGTATGACTACAAAGTAATACAGAGGTTTCCATAAAGCTAATTCTATCTTTGTATTTTCCATCCATATCTGCTACTTCAAATTTGTCCATATTTGTTCCTTCAACAACTTTTCTAGTCATTTTTTTAATCTATGGGTGAAAAGAAATTAAATTTAAGGAAACTGTAGTTCAGTTTTTGTAGGTCTTCCTAGTAACCTAACAAAGGGATTCTCCACTTTTTCTTTTTTAGCTTATATTCTAATTTTCACTCTTCCATCATCCCAACTCTAGCTCCCTATTTCCCAATAACACCTCATCCCTAAACCATAACACTCTTCAAGGTTTGGGTGGGGTTTTTTTTCCAACTGCTCCCTAATACATCCTCCATCTTAGCAAAGAAAACATGAATATCTCTAATACTTTAGAGCTACAATCATGTAGCTAAAGAAAACTTGTATTTCTGCTCCCCACCCTTCCTCCACCCATACTTATTCTTGGATTTTCACTGATCAGTGCCTTCAAAGTTGACTGCCTTAGGTCCTGTAGCTCCTCCTCCAGTACTGGGTAAACACTTGTTCCACTATTATAAAGGATATCATTACTCTTTGTGAAGTCAGACAGAACAGAAGAAATCCACTTAACCCAGATAATCTCAAGATTCCTAAAGGATTAGAGATAATTTCTCACCCTTCTAGAAGCATTTACCTCAAGAAGCATCAGATAAAAGGTAAGGTACAACTACTTTTTATAATACTTTGTTAGTATTTTATAAACCTAGCCTTCCAAACACATTTGTCTGCCAAAGGTATGCATTCAAATTTATTTATAATTAAAAAGTTTCTTTGGTTTTATTTTTGTAAAAATTATAGCACAAATAGTAGAAAAAGGAAACAAGAAGCTCTCATTTTCACATTTTTTTAGTTACTAAGATGAGATTCTAAAATAAATCTCTACTTTCTTTCTTAGAAATTACAAAGCCATTATATTCACATCTAAACACTATTATTTTGACAAATGTACATGCACACACATACATAGATCTATATACTAAGCTACATTTGTTTATTGCATAGAGTATGTTTATGTATTATTACAAGAATATTTTTACTTCATAGACTTTTTTAGAGCTGAATCATTTCCTTTTTATGAAAAAGCATGGCTAACACTTAAGAACAGGCAAAAAACATTTCCCTTTAAATATTTAAACTGCTTGTTCTAAAAATAATCTATTCAAGAATTATTTTTACTCCACCCAATCATTTAAACTAAGAAACAACATTAACAACCTAGACTATTGCTGTTTCAATTTCTATTTAGAAAAGACACAATATTATAATTACATAAGATGATTATTATGAAAACGTGGTTTATTTTCACGAATTTTCAGATTTTTAGGTATCGTCTACTAGATTCTGATATGCTTCTTAATTCTTATTTCCAAAGCTTCAGTATTCTCAATACTTATTTTTCATAATTAAATTTATTTCCTAGTGATAAAATGTTTCATTTTATAAGGTTTGTTTCAAAGGTTTAAGAGTTTATCATCATCTCACT